GCATCTTGGTCTTCATACCTTCGTATAAACTATAATTTATGAGAAAAATCTGGTAAATTCGGCCCAAATGTATATGGTGAATGCAGATCAAACAAAAAAGGGGCATCGAAGCACAAGAATGCATGTCGACCAACTCTTATATGATAGTGAAGGCTAAGGCTACCAAATCTAAAAAGTATAAAGGAAGAATGAGAAGAGTTTATAAAAAAAAAGTAGTTTTGAAGCTTAAATAAAGCGAGTGCTTTAAAAGTTCAACGAGTTAAAACATTATTATTTGGATCTGAATTTGAAGGAAAAGATGACACAACTAATCAACACAAGTCAACCATTATTAGATCAAGAACGAACACACAAACTACGAGCAACAAGTAAAAAACAAGCGATTGGACTTCACTTTTTCAGCTCGTGCAATGCATTCTCTATTCAATCCTACAAGAGATTATCTACTCTATTTGTTCGAGAAATTATTATATACCTTATAGATTTTATAGCTAAGTTATGAAGAAAGTGCGTCTGATAGATTGCATGGACTAACGATTTTAGAGGATAGAATTACTTGTTTCGAACAGTAAGGTGATGGAAGGCAAAATTTTATTTTAATATGTTAAATAAATCAAGAAATTAATTATACTATATTGAGAGGGACAAATATGAGAAAAACATTATGCTTGAGAAATGCTTAAAAATTAAAATCAAAGAAATTATATGCTCGTATATATTTATCATTTAGATTGAAAACTACCTCGTAATGAAAAATGTACTTTCAGATCAATCGTTGGTCATTATCACGTTGAAGTTTAACTAAGCAATAATATTAGAAAATTGTTGATGATATTCAGACTAATGTGTGGTACAGGTCCGCAAGCAAAGCCTAACTAAAAAGTACACGCATATAAGAACGATTCAATACTATTGAGAGGGAGAGAAAGAGAGGAGGAAGGGTAGAACAAAATGCATACACGTATTAATTAATCTTTCATACATTCATCTGGTTGTATGCTACAACTGTGTACATCCTACCTGCTGCAGAGCCAGGTGCTGGGGCCACACTAACTGTTTGCCATGCGGGAAAAGCATGTGTCTGTCCGTTGGCCGACTGAGTTGGCCACTGCAGCAGGGTGGTCGTCGCCCCAGCGGCCTGTTGCTGCTGCTGTTGTTGCTGTTGTTGCTGCTGCTGAAGCAACGGTTGTTGCAGTTGGGCTTGCTGGGCCTGTTGCTGCTGCAGTTGTTGTTGCTGCTG